TTCGTTATCAATAATCATCTACATTATTCAATCACTTACTTAGCTGATAATATTGCATTATAAGTTCAATTATTGTATAAGTCATTGTTGTTGACATTACACTTAAAATTAATAATTTAAAATAAAAAAATAGTTATTATATCTTTAAACAAGTCAAACAGTTGATAATAAATATATATTTTGTAAGTTCTGATTTCAAAGCTTCAGATTCTTTTGATACAGGTAAAAATGAAAGAATATAATATCCTAATAGATATATGTAACATTCACTTGTCATCTTTTCTTATCGAGTAATAAAACCTATTATTTAATAAAATTAGGCAATTAGGTTAATTCAAATTGGGAAAAATGGTTTATTTAAAAAAAATTTAAGTAAATTCAAGGATAAACTTAGATATTAAAACATTAATTCTACAATAGGAAGTATAATTGCATTTCCATTCTCATTTGAAATGAATTTCTACTAATTTGTTTGTATTGTGTTTTTTCAATTATCAGTTAACATATATTTCAGTTATTTAATCTAAGTATCCATAAATATTGACTATTTCTGAAAATATGGAAGAATATTATTAAGCTAAAGTTCCTATATTAAACAAAAAGGTATATTTAAGCTAAATTTCCTCAAAGAAGATTGAGTTATTGTTCCTATATTAATAATAAGCATGTTATATTTTTAAATATCTTTTGTTCTTAATTACACAAATATTTTAGATAAGAAAAAAAAGCTTCTCTTAAATGAAATTACATTACTATCTGGCTGATGATACTATTGAAATCAAAGAAATTAATTCTGTTAATTATATTATATTATATAGAGTTATTTAATAATATATTTATTTATGTGTTATTTTTTTAATTGCTTTGGGAATTGGTTTGAATTGTCCATAATTAAGTTGAGCAACTTTTAAGAATAAGCAAACTTCATCACATTTTAAAGTGATTATAAATACTTAATGGCCTCTTTTTAAAATGCAATAGTTTTTATAGTGATTGAGATAACTAAACCAAGTAAATTGTTATAAGTAACCAGTTGATGTATAGAGTGTAACCTTTTTGTAGACATAGCAAGCATATTTATTTGTAGGAAAACAAATCACAAATTTGATTGCTTAGATGAAGATAATGCAACACAAGTTTAATTATCATTATAAAGCAATATTCACGATTTATAACATATAAATAATATAATAAGTATTGCAATTGATCAAGGTGAGGCTCTAATTTAGGAGCATGTAACAAAATAATAATTCTATATATTAAAATAAATTATACCAATTAATCATGACAATAATCCTGCATTATAAATATAGAATCTGATATTATTTTAATTTTATTTAAAAATGGTTTTGCAATCAAATTATCAGAAACATCATTCACATGTCAATTTGCTTAATATTAATTTTATACATATAATTTATAAGATTCATTTTAAATTATATGTATCTTTGAATTAAACTTATCAAATTATTACAAATGGATAAGCTATTGAAATTAGTTTATTGAGTGATTCCTCCACTTTTGCTATGTTATAATGCAATTATATTGATTTAATATTAAAGAATTCTTTAGTTTTATAGTATATAATGATCTTATAATTAAATGCTCAAACTTTTATTAGCAATGTATTTCATTTATAAATTCATAAATATCATTAACTAACTTTTACATTTTATATTAAACAATAAAAAATTTATAAACTGTTAGAGGCAATATAAACACCAATAAAAAATTGATTGGGATAGATGATTATAAATTAAGGAATTAATTAAATGCCAAATTATACTTTTTAGGAAATTCACCTTAATAATCTAATTTAATCATTAGGAAAAGTATAGAAATGATTAATTATGTAAATTCTTAAGATCTCATATTAATTGTTCCAATTTGTAATTTATAATTAAATAATATTGTTTTGAGTTAATGTCATGAATTGTTAAATGGTGAATTAATAATCTTATCAGCATCCTTATTTTTTATGGATAATGTATATCAATTGATGCTTTAAAATTTCAAAATTAATTATTTTGCTATGTCACAACCATTTATTTAATTAAATTAAGGATCTAATATTTATTTAAATAATCTTAAAATTACAAGTTTTAAATTGCATTAATAAGTTCAAATAACAGATAAAACTTTATTAATTGTTAATATTCTTACAATATCAAATTCATAATTTTCCTCATCTATAACATCTGTGAATTAATTATTTTAATATTTTAACTTGATGCTCAAGATATTACTATTAATGGTAATTAATTTTGTAGTACAATCTTTAATATTATACTTATAAAATCCTTATAATCTATTATAATTAGATTTAATAATATAGTTATTTAAGATAATAGTATTTCAACTTATAAAATGCAGCAATTCTCAATTAATAACTAATATTTATTCTATTAATCAAAAATTAAGTCTAATTTTTTAACAATATCTATTAATTAGATATATATTATGCTTTAAATTTTCTTTTGGAGATACTATTCATGCTTTACATTTAATTTTTGATCATAGTTCTTTCATTACATAAAACACTTGATACTATTAATATAAATGATTTTACATTTTCATAGCCAGTTTCATTTAAGTCTTGTTATTTTTTAGATTCCTTATATTATTATAAATTAGATCCATTTCAATTAAGGAACAATATACAATATACAATTAAATTATATTTATTTATTGTTATCTAAATTTTAATTATTTCATCAATATAATCCAATCTATTATATTAAAATGGATTAATTACAATATATAATTAAAACAATTATGATTACATATAATTCAAATTAATGTTTAATTAAATGACATTAATGAATATTTTAAATTTCAAATTTATTTCTACTTCATTCTTAAATACTTGTTATGGAATATTAATCAATGCTAAAATTAAATTTTAACTTAGTCTATCATTACAATTTTATAGTCTCCTCAGCTGGTTTATATTTTTAAGGATTTCAATCCCAATTATAGTTAGATTAATCGAATTTTAATAATATAAAGTGTAGTACTAGAACAAGTTTATTGGTTTTAAATGCTTAATGATAACATTTAGTTCATCCAATGTAATAGATTTCAAATACCATGGAGTTTAAATTATATTCGGTGGAGTTGCATAAGTCTCTTACAATAGGATTTATATTTAAAATAATAATTTCTAATACATATCGTCTTTTAGTGGTTCTATCTTTTTTATATTGATATATAATTCAACATCATATAATCCTTAAATTTCATTTACTTTAAAAAATACAATTATCACGATTCAAGGAAATCAAATTAATTCAATATTTTCATTTTAAGAAGGGGGATTTTTATTCTTTCAATAATAAGTAAAAACTATAGTTCTTAAAAATAATAATTTAATTTATTTTTATCAATAACTTACATAGTTAATCTATATATATGATATATAATAGGATTAACTAATTAAATTTTATATGCATGAACTATAGTTATCCATATTTCAATTACAAAAATGTTAATATTTCCAATAGCCTTACAAATTTACAAAATAATTAATCCTTTAAGATAATTCATTTTCAAATATTTATTCTCTAAATCTATTAAGAAAATTGAATGATTCAATACTTATCAAATAAATCAAGGCTGTTTATTTTATCTTGAGAAATTAAGTATTTATTATGAATTAGATTAATATTAGGAATAGATAATCATTTTCTACGCAAGCTGAGAAAGGATAAATTGGATAAATTATTTATGCAAACCAAACTTGGATTTCACTTTCTAATAGTTATCTAATTAATTCTTATATCAGTATAAATACATAAACAATATAAAATATTAGCCAGTTAGCTGATTAAATTAAAGTTTAATTCAATGCATGATTCTACAATATATATTTTAGTTCCATAAATAAAAAATTATCTTGTGATCCTATCAATTGTTTATTAAGTGGATTTTATTCAAAAAATATATATTCATATATAAAAGGAGGATTTTGTTAAAATAATAAGGGCAATTTATGTAGTTGTTTTTATTTAACATATTCTATTTTGGCAGATTTGTAGAATGTATCTAATTTGAAGTTAGTAAATTGTACCTTCACTTTAAATGTAGTGTTAGACTCAGGTGAAGGTTTATATTTAAATTCTTTTAATTAATATAGTTTAGTAGTTACTGTAATATAATGCTATTTTATAAATAATACAGCCTAT